TTCCACCGGCGAAGGGGAAGTCAAAAGAGCCTTCCAGTCGCTAACCGAACCCGCTACGAAGTCGCCATCCTGAATGTCTTCAACCTCCAACTCCAAGGCCGCCTCCTTGGCGGAGTCCCGCTCGCCCTCCAACCTGGCCATCGTGCCCTCAGGGAGAAGAGTCTTATCACTCACCAGCGTAGTGAATGCGTCAAAAACACCTGAAGCCGAGAGACACACATGAACATCAAACGAGGAAACGAAATCCACAATGATAAGTACCAAGCATTCACTCGACAATGTAAAGCTATACGGATTACCTTTAGCCATCGTGTAGGCGGAAACAGCAGCATGAACCGCCTCGTTACTCTTGTAGAATCGCTCGAACTTGCCCACCTTTTCGCGATACTCAAGAATAACCAAGTCGAGAACGCGTCTTCTTTCAGACACCGTAGAGTCGTCCCTCTCTTTCCTGATCCTAGCCAGATCCGACTTCAGGTCACGATAATGGTTCCTAGCCTTTTCCCAGCTCTCCTTGTGACCAGCAGCCTCTTCACGAGACGCCTTGAGCTTCTCCTCGGCCTCAAGCGCCCTCTTCTCAGCCACCTTCAGTTTCTCGACCGCTTCCTTTGCCTCCCGCTCGGCCGCCTTTCGCTTTTCAACCGCGGACATCCTGGCTCGTCGCTCAACCGCAAGTGAGTCTTCCAGTTTGCGCATATCTCGGCGCAGCAAAAAGTCGAGCTGGTTGGTACTCGCCATCATCTGCCCAAAAAAAAAAAAATCAACAAAGGAGACGGACCTCCACATCAAGCAAGCGAAAGAGAATGACAGAAGGATAGTAAGGTGAAGAGAGAAAAGAGAGGGAGGAGAACAAAGAAAAACGTTAGAGTACCTGAAAAGTAGAAGCAGCGATCGTCCGGTAAATCCTCGCCCCGACCGCATCAGCATCGTAAGGAGCATACTCCTTATGGGAATGACTGATCTTCCGGTATAAGTCAATGCAAGCATCCGGGTCGGAAGCGAACAGATCAGTCCTATCATACTGATACGAAAAAGAGAAGTCCTTGCCATCCTCAACCACTTCGCTAGGCCCGCCGACCATATCGCCCGTCTCGCCGAGAGCACCATCCACGTTCGCCGACGCTCCCTTGCCCGAAGAAAGCGCGCACACCATCGGGCGCTCTTCGCATTGCACCGGAACAACAGCGCCGACAGCAGAACTCTCAGGACGACCCGGCATCTTCCCCGAAAGAGCCTCGCCGACCTTGCCCTTTCCCGCAGTATCCTTCACCCGCACAAGACGAATCGGAAACGACTTGCTCCTCGCGTCTCTCGCCTCCGGCTCGACCGGCCTTTTATCCTTCTCTCCAACCCTCCGAGCAGCCGAAGACGAGCCAGCCGCATCCCCAGAGGACGCCAAAGGAGCCTTCTTGCCGGAAAACTTGGGAACATTCAACAGCCGCTTCTCCATCTTCCCTGTCTCGTCGAAATGAACTGCAAAACAAGAATTTTGGTTGGCACAAAAACAAAGGGGAAGCCAAAAAGACTCACTATAAAAGAAGCACGTCAAACAAATACCTGTGATCCCGTGACAAAACTCCCTAGCCTTCCGAGCCTCAACGATCGTAGACCACTGCTGAGCTCCCAATTGACGAATCTTCACGAGATCCTCCTCGAAACCCACAGGACGCTCCTCGCCAACCGGATGGAGAACTGCATAGGAAACAAACAAACATCAACTAAGTAACATCAAAACGGAAGCAAAAAAAATCCATTAAATCTACCAAATTCAGGACTCCATCGATCCACGAATGTCCTACTATCGCCACCGCAAACTAACGCCGAATTCACTCGGGCGTAGAAATAATGCCCCCACCAGACATGGGACTTGCTCGGGACATCAGTCACCACCTTATTTCCCGGTTTCATATTCACTGCGACCGTTCGCTGAGCCCCTTTGGTATTCCACACCACACTCGATATCTCTTCGAAGAAACGAAGACTCATATCAACGCCGCACGACTCCGCCACTAGGATCGCCCCAACCATGTTCCGGATCTCACCCGGACAGAGCTGAGTCAAGGCAATCTCCCTAGCCTCGCAATAGTCCAACAAAAACTTCGGCAGCGGAAACCATAACTGGCAATGCTCGAACCAGTACTCATAGAGACAGATCCAACCCGGAGGAGGGGTCCAAGGACGCTCATTCGCGCCGGGAACTCTGAAATCCAGATCGGAAACCCCACAAGCATACCGAATATCCTCCAAAGACTGCGTCGACGACCTGGATCGAGGAAATTCGACACCCGAAGACAGTAAGGGCGACTCAGGTTCCGCGGATCCTACGTCAGCACGAGCCAAAACAACAAGCTCACCACCAGCATCATCGACAAAACCAGTCACCCTACTCGCCATAGGAGTATCAAAATCTGCAGCAGAACCATCTGAACCCGACCTTGTTCCAGCCGAGGAGGACGGCGATCCGGAACCACCAGCAGAAGACGTCGAGCCAATACTCCCAGGAGGAGAAGATAGCCTTGATCCAATCGGAGAAATCGGAACCACATCCAGTCGCCCCGTATCCTGCGGCTGAACGCCCCTCGGAAGATGCCCCCTACCCATCTGAAAAAGAGAATAGAGTAGCCAGGTTAAAAAAAAAAAGGGGGGGGGGGGGGGGGGGGGGGGGGGGGGGGAATAGCATACCTAGGTTTTGGCCCACCTAAAAATTCCTCGCCTACTTAAAAAATCCTTGCCTACCTAAAAAATTCCTTGCCTACCTAAAAATTTCTCGCCTACCTAAAAAATTCCTTCTCCTACTTTAAAAATTTCTCGCCTACCTAAAAAATTCTTTCTCCTACTTAAAAAATTTCTCGCCTATCTAAAAACTCCTTACCTACCTAAAAATCTTTGTCCACCTAACATCAGCTATTTGAGAGAATCGATCTATCCTAAACATTCCACCACCAAAGGTCAAGATAACTCTCTCTCACAAAAAAAAAAAAAAAAAAAAATGGCCGACCTGAGACATGTGTCGAGCCATCAGGCAGAAGGAAACGCCGACCAATCGAGATAAAATGCCGACCAATCGAGATGAAATGCCGACCAACCGAGACGATATGCCGACCAACTAAAATGCCGACCAGCCGAGATAAAATGCCGACCAGCCGAGATAATACGCCGACCAACCGAGAAGATATGCCGACCAACCGAGATAATACACCGACCGACCGAGATGATATGCCGACCAACCGAGATGATATGCCGACCGAGCGAGATAAGATGCCGACCACCTCCGACCAACCTGAGAAATGCCGACCCTCACCAAAAAGGTCGGCCGATTCTCACCCCCGAAAAAAAGCCGTCAGTAATCCCGAGCAAGCGGATCGGCTCTCACCCGCAATCGAACCAACCGCTCTCAGATCTGTCGGCCTAGAGCAACCTTAAGCTTAAAAGCTGACCGACTGTTGCCGACAATAGCCGACGAACCCCGGAACCCCAAAACGACGAGACCAGGCACCTCCGAAATTTGCAACTTCGAATGGCAAGCCGCCGGCGACAAATAACCTAAGATCCGAGAGGATTTTAGCCTCGACAGCAAACACCACCGATTCGCCAAAACATGGATCAACAAAGGCTTTGGGATTTCACGAAAATGTGACCTCGAAAACTGAGCGGAGGCAACAAGAGCTGACGAAAGAAAGAAGAAGAGGGAAGAGAGAGAGATTTACCTTAGCAATGAACAGTGTCAAGATAAGAGAAGGGAAAAGAGAAGGGAATGAAGTATTTATAGGCAAAGAGAAGGAGAAGGCAACGATTTAATCTAAAGCAACGACCGGGACCCATATCCGTACGCGGGCCCACTCTGAGCCAACCCTGATTCGCGCCGAGCCGATAAAATTTGAAGAATCCGTTGACTCAAGGTCAGAAGTTTTCGTCAAACGGACTGAGGGGAGGACTTACTGTTGGTACTGGGCCTGGCCAAGGCCCATCTCATCAGCTCGGCCCAAAATCGACTCTCAGATTCAAAAACCAGCTCGGCCCAAAATCAATCCAACCCGAGAAGAAGAGGTTTTCGACCGGATTCAAAGACAAAATCTAAAACAGACAGGTCGGCCCAAATACTCAACAAGGCCCATTTAGCCAAGAAGCCCGCGAAGCCCAATGAAGCCACCGCCCTAATTCCCTATAAATAGGACCGTACCCTGTACGAAAAAAGACATTCATTACTCCGGATTTTACGGAATTAAGCTTTAATTACGCATTTGTAAGAGCTTCTCCTTTTTGGAGATCGGCTTTCGTATTTAGAGCTTCTCACTTGGGATCCCAATTTGTGGGAACCCTCTTTCTAGTACATTTGACGAATCCGTTCTGTAATCTTTCGATCCTTGTTATCAATAAAATACGAATTATCCAAGGTTTGAACTTAAGGTTCACCAATGACCAGCCTGTAAGAAAATGTTTTGCAAAGTACAGGGGTCTCAAATCCTTCAGAACCTCCTCGTGGAATCCAAATGTAGTAACACTGATCTTTGATGTAAAGCTCATTATTTTGCTTTTACTGTAAAGCGTGCCAATTTTAATTATTTGTTGGCAAATGCAGGAGTCTCTACCTCAGGACTCAAAAGCTTGTGCTCAAGCAAGCCCTGAAGATGGAAGAAGAAAGCAGAGACGGATTTAATTTATAGAATGAAGAAATTTACATAAAACCACCGCCAGGCTTTAAACATTCTAATCCCTTTGCTAGTTTGCAAACTACACAAATTTTTGTATGCTTTGCAACAAGAGCCATATTGCTTGTTCTCTAAGTTATCAAAGACATTACTTGACTATGGTTTGTTCAATGTCGAAAATATTATTTACTTTTACTCGAGTTCATGGCTCCACCATTCTACACTAGTAAGAATCTTGGTAATGATTTCATTGTCATTTCTCAATTTAAAAGGAAAAAAAATCCAGTTGTATACGAACTTTTCGTTATTTAATTACGTAGACATTGGAAAAAAAAGAAAGGAAACACTCGTCTAGTGAGGATGAGTCGGGGGCTTGCAAGGTGGCTCTCCTTTATAAGGTTCCTTTTTCTGAGGTCCCTTCTTTGAGTAGCTTCGCTTCACTTTCGCTTTTATTTGGATAACAATTTCATTTCTCCTATTTTCCGCTTCTTCTCTATTCCCTGATTTACAATTCAGAGATATAAATAGAAAAAACACAAAATAGTTACCAAGTTTTCATACAAAAGAAGTTGGGATCTAAGAAACAGGTTCACATCCGAAATACCAAGTTGATATCATTCTTTTCAGATTTACCAAGAACTATCGCGTTAAACTAAAGATAAATATTCCTCACCGAGCTTTCGATGCTTTGTTTCCTTGCACGATGTTGCTTCTGACTGTCTGAAGAAGAGAGGCTCCAAAAGTAGCAAAGCTACGATGAGGATGACAAAGAGAGGTGCTGCCTTTTCTTTCATTGGATCTCTCTCTTGTCAAAAATGCCTCTAAAATGCCTAACCTATTTTTTTTATAGGTCAAAAATATCCACCAACCCAATTTGCTTTCACACTATTTTGTTGAAAACTACAATATAGTCTGGCACACGGAATTGGGACAAAGTTATACTTGCCCTCACTATTATCATATATTTACATGCAATTTATTTTAGAGGAAACTAAATCACTGTTGCAATTTATTTTCGTTATGATAAACATGTAATAAGTACGATTCTCAAACTAGGTTCTTGAAAGGATTTATAGGGTTTGTTAGAAAACTAATCAATCTTATTATCTTATAGAGAAACTGTTGAAACAAACTTGTGCTTTATAAATGTTTCATGTAAATTTCGTCATGAAGAAAAGACACATACATAGACATTAATAGAAAAGAAAAATAAAAAAAAATCTACAGTATAACCTCTATAAATTAATATTCAATAAATTAATAATCACTATAAATTAATATTTTTTGCCGCTCTCGAGACGGGTCAGTGTAAAAATTAACAAAATTCGATAAGATAATAAGATATTTTTTTTTTGAAAGTTCTATGTAGAATTATAGTCACAATAATAATATAAATGAATAATTACACATTTAGACATATATTAATAATATAATATAGTAAACTGTGACAATATTTTTATTTTAAGTTTATAAAATTTATTTGATTTACCTTCTAAATTTATTATTATGATATTTTTCGAATTAATTTTACATTTTTGAAAATATTAATTTTGTTTTTTGATGAATATTAAAAATTCAAACTAAAAACATCTCTATAAATTAATAAAATATTAATTTATCGATAAATTAATAATTAATTAATAATTCTATAAATTAATAAAATTTGAAAGTCCCAACATTATTAATTTATAGAGGTTTTACTGTAGTTTGTTTATTTTTATTTGTGTTGAAATTTTATTAATTGTAAATGAACGTTTAACTAAGGATGGATAAATTGGGGACATGCAAGGTGCTTGTATTGGAGGCTTGCGTGGCTTCTTACGAGGATCTGGTTTCGCTTGGGGTCCCCTTTTTGAGTAGCTTCTCTTAACATTCGTTTTTATTTGGACAACAATTACATTCCTTCTGTTTCCTTGTTTTTGTATACTGTTCCCTGGTTTATAATTTAGAGAAAGCACAAAATAGTTAAGATGATTTCATAAAAATGAACTAGACCATCTACGAAAGATGTTCACGTCCGATTATTATGATCTAGCTAAACCTAAAATTGATTTAAATGCCACGTCGATGTTTTGACTCACCGAGCTTCCGATGTTTTGTTTTCTCGGTCGATATTGCTTCTGACTGTCCGGAGAAGAGAGGAGAAAGAAGGAGAAAAGCCACGATGAGAATGACGAAGAGTGGTTATGTCTTTTCTGTCATTGGACTCTTTTCTGTGCAAAAAGAGCCTATATTTCTTCTTAACTTGTCCAATCTATATATATTTTTATAGATAATAATGGGGTTGAATGGTATGTAATTTTTTCACGTTTTGAAAACGTGATTCCACTAAATACATATCATTCACAATATTAGGCACTCAATGATAAAAAGTGAAAAGTAACACGCTATTTTCTAAACCAACCCGCACCTTTTAAATTTATAACTAGTTTAGAGGAATCTATTCATCTTATAGATACTAGCTTTTTAGCGTTTTGAGTTTATTCAGTTTTAAGTTTACCCATCATAGGGTTCGAATGGTATGTCAACTGAATAGTAGAATAGCGGAATAGCTGAATTATAAAATAGTGGAATCATAGGAATGGAATTATAAAACAGCTGAATAACAAAAAATGAAATTTCACAACGATAGAATGTTGGAATGGTATGTTTTTGGCTGAATAACTGAATAATAAAATAAATAGTACTAAATTACCAAACTAATAAACATTAAATGTAAAAGTAAAAAATAATTTAAACGAATTTATAAAATAGTTATGTCCTATAAATTCAAAAAAGAATAATCAAAATTCAAATCATCCCAAACAGAACAAAAACAAATCAAATATAACAATTAAAACAAATGAAAAAAAAAATGAGAAAATATTCTGAAACTAAAAAACTCCTACGCTTCCATATTCCATAAGTGAGATGCAATATGTTGACGAACGGTCTGCATACTTACGTCCTCTTCTTGCTCATGAACATTAGTATCACTTCTTCCTGTGTTTTCATGACCATTGATATCAAATTTATCCGCTTCTTCAAAATCTTGATCTGGAATTTGAGATCGTCGTATAAGGTTGTGTAAACCCATCATAGCTGCAACAATTTTCTTCCTAAGTATGATTTTTTGGTAATTTTTTATCAACTATTATTCCTAAGTATGATTTTCATCAACTACTTTGAACACAATAAAATAATTCTCGATGTCTTAAAAGAGCAAATTAAGAAATATTCTTACATCACCAAAGCCACGAACTTGTGAATCTGACTCATCAGACGAACTCATGATGCAATTGGAAATCTGCAGTTTCATAGATCGAGAATAGTTAATATGACAGCTTGAATTCAACTAAGTGTTTCATTACCTTAATCCTAAGTCCATAATTCGTAGCTATTGAGGTGCACATGCCATCATAATAGCAAATCTAATAGAAACAAAAACAAAAAAAAACTACCTTCTCAGTTGGCTGCGTTCCATCTATCACAAATATATATATGTCTATAGCTAGGTTATTGATAGCTTAAGTAGAAAATGGCGGTAAAAGATGGCGGAATGTAATCCGGCGCTAATATATGGAGGCAAAACTAATTATTAATTTATTATAATGAAAAATAAAATTATGATTTATTTTAGGATAAAAATGATTAACAAAAAAATTAATTACTTTGAAACGCCAAAAATCTGTTCTTAAGTAGATGAATGAAGTTTTGTGTAAACTAGTTATAAATATAAAACGTGCGGGATAATTTTGAAAAGCACTTGTTAATTTTTAATTTTTATCATTGCGTGCGTGTTGTCGTAAATGGTATATTTTCAGCAGAATCACGTTTTCACAAAAAAGCTGCATACCATTCAACACTATAGTGATTCTGCTAGTTTATTATTCAGCTATTCCACTATTCTGTTATTAAATTGACATATCAGTCAAACCTAATATCGACCCACCCAATCCTTTTGAACGCGGTTTCTACATACAATATTTCCTTGTTGATAAGTGTTTTGTCCCTTCTTTTGGAAAATGCCAAATACACGAGAAGAATAGTATTAAAGTTGACCTAGTTAATCGTGTAGATTGACTTATGTATATCAACAACAAATATGACACTTTAGAGCAAAAGGCTACATAACAGGTAATCAAATTGAATTCTGATTGGGATAGATACACCTTATTAATTAAAAGTTTTTGAAAAAAAACAAACAAAGATCTATATATATATATATATATATATATATATATATCAATATCAAACAGTTTTTCTAACATGTATTTAGAGATTTTAATTTTATGTGAGCTTTTACTATTATGTGGGTTTTATGAATCTTATGATTTTTTTTTAATATGAAGTTTTAATGTGTACTATATATATTGTCTCTTTTTTTTTGTTTACACAATTTACGATTCACAAATACATCGAAATCTGATCGAATGAATCATTGACATAAAATCTGATTTCTCGAATGTAAGTTACCAAGACTCGTCTCTCTCAAACTAACACCACGGTTCCTTATTCTCGGATGATGATTGATGCAATTGATTATGTTTCTTCTTCTTTCGGTATCATCTTCTTAGGATTCGAAACATTTAAATGCTTGTCTTAAAAAGCTGCTCTATACTCCTAAGTTGTGTCCTCTAGCTAGCTAGTAGTGATTAATATTGCTTCTACCGTTGTCTTCTTCTTGTCCAAAATTAGGTTGAGAGCTCTCTGAGCTTCTCGCTCAGATCCATATGATTGCGTGCATTATAAGAAAGAAAGTTGTTCCATTACAACTAGAGGATATCGCGTAAAGTCGCCTAGGGCTAGGAGATGTTTTGTTGTGAAACATTCACATGTATTCTTGATGCAACTTATGCATAGCAGAGAAGACTTGAATATGCCTTGTAGAGAGGTCCTGGGCAACAAATCATCCTCAAGTCCAAATTCAATGATATGCATCGACCCTGGATATAGCTGTTTCAATCTATCAAATTATCAAATCTTTTTTTTATCATTTTACTAGGCAGATTACTTATGTGTATTGATGTCATGTGAGTCCGTTACAATTTACCCCCAACCAATTGTGTTAACCGGTCAAGAGTTTACTTTTACAACTGAAAGAGGAGTTACCACACCAGCTCGTGACGATGTTAACTTGTATGATGATACATGCTCCTTGTTGATGGTCTTTAGTACTTGCTTTTGAAGTTTCTCCAATTTATTGATTATCAAGTATGACCGATGGCCCTGTCCTATGACCTATGTTTATAGATTGTCCTCGTCCCTTTTGCTGAATGAAATCTCCAAGACCAACGAAACATCAATCTCATTGACGCAAATACCGACGTCAAGAACCATGACATGAGCCTTTGTCTTTATGCACCGTCTTACGTCTATTCAGAACAGGAAGAGTAGAAGTACTGTTTCCCGGTTTGATTTTTTCCGAGTACACACTCTATTAGAAGAGACATGAGGGATGTTCTGTCTCCTAATCAATGGTGAGATCTTATCACACATACCACTTCTGCATCAGATGTGAATGTCCCATAAAGGTTTTGATTTACATTCACCGAGAGGAAGCATCGTGAGACGTGAAACGTAGTCCTCAACCAAACTTTCTCCATCTACAAATACATGGTCGTGTACGTTGACTTGAGTCTTAATCCACCTAACACAATCACGTGACTGTGAAAAATGGAGATTCGAACACTAAGTCAAATTGGAGACCATACACTAAGTCAAAATCACGTACAAGTATGATTTATTACCAACTAGTATTTTGGCCCGCGCTATATGCACGAGCACTCACATTTTAATAAATAAAATTATCTATCAGATTTGTAAACATTAATATGTTAAAATCAAAATAAATTAATAGTGTGAAATTATATAATATTAAAAAATTGCATAACAGAATTAGGAACGAACACTACCTATTGAAAATATTTATAATAGTAATACTGGAATGTAATATATGATTTTAAAGTATCAATCTATTAGTTACAAAGATGGAAGTGCTGATAAACAAAAAAAAATTAATAATAAAATAATTGTTGCTATTTCGAGTTGAAGAAGACTGGTACATACTACTTTAGCTTATTGCAGTCTAATAAGGAAGAGAAAAAGTCAATATTGACAATTCGAGATGATTTTTCTTTAACTTTTTTCAAACATAGAACTAAAGTACATGAAAAATAAATTCAGTGTCATCCCAGTATCTTTGATTTACATATCGCTACAAATTTTAAGCATGTAATCCATACAAATATTTTAATTATTTTTATCTAAACCTCTTTACCCAAAATATGCTTTGAAGTACATGATTCTTCTGTAAAGAAAAGGTACGGTTTTTTAGTGTGTTAACAATAGAAATGAAATTTGTACAACAATATGATTGTGGTGCTTAAACGTACTGACGAAAACTTTCTTGTCATCTGTTTGTGAGAGTAGCAACGCAGTGACTGGTTTGGAATCTCTTCGCAAGGCTTCAGATGTGTTGACCAAGTGAAGAATATTCTGAAAGCATGTGTATTTCCTCTGAAAACACAACATTGTCCTTTATAAAATGCACTTTGGAACTTGAATACCAATTTTCCTTTTATACGGTTTTCCTATCACAATGACAACAAAAGAAAACTGGAATGTATTTTGACGAAAAACGCTTGCAAGGTAAATTAACAACAAAATACGTGTGGTCTTTTGAAATCTAAAAAACAAAAAAATCTAAGCTTGTTATATGAATTGTATATATTAAAGATAATACTTGCTATATGAGTTGCAAATAACTCAAAAGAGCAAAAACGTCTGAAGGTTGAAAAGCACTCTTATAAGCAACAAAAGAGACGCATGTATAAGTTTATATACCTTATCATTCACAAGTATTCAATCTAAGTCCACCAACATCTCCGAGCTTATTATTGATCGCCATATACAGGTAGTTCAAACTTTCATTTTCCAAATCTCAAAAACGGGGTTTAATTGAGCTATTGGTGTGAAACAAAGATTCATCTTATAAACAATCACAACCTTTAGTAACCGAAACATAATGGAAAAAAAATAAAATTTCAAATTAGAGATCTATGGAGTTTGAGAAATTGAAGATAAAAACTTAAAAAGCCAAAATTATAAGATCACCTAACGTAACTGTTTTTTTCTTTGTGGAATTGCAAATGGTTAAACGATTAAATATGGTTGAACAGTTCTGATATATCAGTGAGAGTGGGAAGTTGGATTGGGGAATGGGGATCGTGG